CCGCTGCTTTCTTGTTCCAGTCTGGAAATAACCCGATGGTATACTGTTTTTCTCAGACGCGGAGGGATACTGACTTGTTGTGAAAAGTAACTTACAATTCTACCCGTGGTATACGCTCAGTATATCACGGCTAAGAACCAATCAGATTGCTTGATTTGACTTGNGTCAAATCAAGCAATCTGATTGGTCGATAGCGTCTTTGCGGACCTCTTTGATTACAGATTTGAAAACATCGTTGCTTGCTTTAAAAGTAGCACAATTAATTATGTTAAACCTTCAAAAGTATCTAGATATCCCTGCCCTAATGCCAAAGGAACTGCACACTGAATATGTTTTGCCGTTTGATGTCTATGTCTGGACCGCTGCGTCAAAAAGGAGGGCTTCTGCCCAGCTTCTGCCCCGTTACTTCTCCGCTGCTTTCTTGTTCCAGTCTGAAAATAACCCGATGGTATACTGTTTTTCTCAGACGCGGAGGGATACTGACTTGTTGTGAAAAGTAACTTACAATTCTACCCGTGGTATACGCTCAGTATATCACGGCTAAGAACCAATCAGATTGCTTGATTTGACTTGTCCGTTTTATAAATATATATATATCCTGATATAAGACTTGATAGGTTCCTGATATCATTATATGGAATCAAGTGTTGTACTTTCCTGGTTTTAAAGGCTGCATTTGTCTATTGAGGTATTTGGTCAAACATATTGTGTTTTTTGAAATTTGAAATACTCCATATTGATTAGCCCTATGCTACACATAAATCTTTCGTTCTCCTAGTTTTTTTCATTTTAGAGCACACTGAAAAAACTGAAACGCTGACTTGAATTAAATGTATTATGTCAACAGATTCCACATACATGTATTAGGTTAGTTGAAAGCAATAATATAGGTTTAAATAAAAATTGAGGTTTAACTTAATATTGTTGCTTTCTCATAACCTAATTCAATTTTTTTGGAATCTGTTGACATAATACATTTAATTAAAGTCAACGTTCAAGTTTTTCAGAGCATAATTGAAACCGTCTAACTGGCTGTTTCCGTCCTTCTGTTTCAGGCCTTAATGACAGGGAAGGCCGAGGGCGCTGGGAGTGGGCGGGGGGAGAGCCGCTCAACTACACCAGCTGGAGAAAGACCCCCCCTCCGTCCAAAATTAAGGGAAACAAAAACTGCATCCTGGTGGGGAGAAGGGCAAAGTGGCAGATCAGGGACTGCAAGACGGGCAGAGGTCATCGCTTTGTGTGCTCCAAAAGAACTTGATCCTGCAGTGTGTGCAGCATCACAGCCATGAGCCACTGTGGTGTTTCAGAAGGGGAAGGACTGATCCTCGGGACATTTAAACTGCAATACCGGAGGGAACTTTCCTGGAAATGTTCATATCATTTATTATTAATGACACAACTGTTTAATGAGTAACGTGCTACACTAAGAGACATTGTTTACACGGCATCTATTCAAATTAACCACTGAACGTGTTGTTATAAACCGTATGAAAAGCTCACAAGACGTTTTTTTAAAATGTATTCAGTCTATTTTCCAGACTTGCTGACTCCAAAATATAAGTGTGTGCTGTCGGAACAGAGAACAACAGAATACAGACATGGACAAAACATCCACTTTGTGAAATTCTGTCTTTGTTTCAATATTATTTGACAGTATGAAGATTAGCTTTAGCTCTTAATTTCTCTAAAGATTATGTCAAACCTCATTATTTTATTCAGAGATGTGTTTACTGAATTTGGCAGTGTGCCCAGAAAAAAACCTCCGAATTAATGTCAAAATGAAATCATAGTGGATTTTTTAAAGGGGTCTAATGTTACAGTTTAAAACAGTTCAAAACAATCCCTACAGTATTGACAAGAAAAATAAAATCTGTATTGTAACATTTTCTTTCTCAATTCTTTTTTCGGATCTGTAAGTGTCATTGTGAACATTACTCCAAAAATATCTTAATTATAGAGACCATGCTACTTCTCAGTCCAACAGTATGTCATTGTTTATGATAATCCTTCCATCATTAGGTACAGTGAAACAATATGAAATGTTGACATGTCTTCACGATTGAAAGCTGGTTTTTCCCTTTTAGAGAATTCAACATGCTCTTTAGAGTTGGTCCTGTGAACCACAAGCAGCAATGTGATTATCCCCATCATGTGATCTACCACGGCAGTATGAAAGAGGGCCTTTTATCTGAGCTCTGAGCAGCTCTCAGAGGGTTGCATGCAGCCAAAACACACAGCCTCTTCAGCTCGGTAAGTCAAGCTTCAACTTAACAGATTTATACGTGATGAATTTGCATGCTGACGATAGATGTAAACGTTAGTGTTTTGCAGACTACTTGGACAAACTGAAATATTTGTGCATTTTATGATAATGGCAACATGTGATGGTTGATTAATTGATCAAAATGTGTTCCTAACAGATGCATTTTGTACGCCAGTTAGAGGAAAGTCTTTGAAACTTTTAGGATTCACCACCTTTTTATGGAATGCATTAGTTTGCTGGTAAGAAACAATATAGTTGCAAGCTCACTTACTCTACAGTGTCGAAGGCAGGGGCCGTGACTAAAATAATTTATACTTTTACTATACTGAATTGAAAAATGAAGAGCTTTTTTAAGGATGGAGACATGTCACAGAAGAAGCTCAAAATACTAATATGAACCTGAAAATGAGCAGAATAGGGCCCTTTAATATTGTAAGGAAAGCTGTAACATGGTTCCACATCTCTTGAATGCCATGCAGCAGTTATTTGCTTGGAAATCTTTTGCTGTGTTATTGTATGTGAGTGCATTGATTATGTTTTAATATTGTTATGTGAACCCTCTGTACTTTATACAAAGTGCAACCCTAGTTTAATTTATATTCACCTAAATGTCAGTCCCAGCATTTACTCCATAGTAACATCCTTAGTACATTTTAGATGAAAGAGGCCTTCAGGTGACGTAGCATACCCTGTGGCTGCAGTTTAAGAGGTCAATGCTCCGTCGAATGCTTGGTGTCTCCCCCCACTTCCAGTCTTTACACTAATACACAGCTCAAAATCCAGCTGTGTATATACAGTATATTCTATGTTACTGTTGGAAAAAAGTATTTTCACAAAAAAAGTTATAGTATTCATTTTATTTCAGAAAAACCCACGACTCATCTATAATATATCATGTAATTTAGTATTATGTAAATGTGATGTGTAATATATTAAAGTAATTAAGAAACATTTTGTTTTAAATTTCATTACTGAAGCAGTTTTAAAATATCAGCAGGAGAGGACTCTTTCAAGTAGAGACACTACATACTGATATACACCTGAACATCAGCAGGAGATGACTCTTTCAAGTAGAGACACTACATACTGATATACACTTGAACATCAGCAGGATAGGGCCCCTTTAATATTGAAAGGAGTAAGATAATGTGTATAATTCCACATGTGTTGAATGCACATAAAATGCTGTGCTGTGTTATTGTATGTGAGTGCATTGAATAGGTTGTAATATTGTTATGTTAACCCTTTGTACAGTGCATTTGTAAATGCAGCATGCTGTAAGCCTTTAGACTAAAATATGTCATTTGTCATTTGTTCTACTCACATTTGTTCTACTCATCTAATAATGACATCACACCAACATATCTTCATTTTCTGTATCATCAGACTGTGGGTCATTCCTCTCTACTAACATCAATTGTTATGTTGTTTATCCAAGGTCTTATCATGACATAATCATCTGACTCTCCTAATCTCTATCAAAGCGAGAGGAGAGGAACTGGAGAGGGTTCCCTGCTGAGGGTTCTTGTCATGGATCCTAACGCCTTAGGCCAGAGCAGCCCCTCCAGCTTCCAGTGGCTTTCCTTTGCTTACCAGGCGCTGACAGAGATCCCATATGAAGCCATCCTCCCACAGACAGACACCCTGGAGGTGCTGGACCTGAGCAACAACCTGCTGGATGAGTATCCTTTTATAATAGGCAGAGGCTGTAAGACCAGAGAACCCCTCCCTGTTCCTTTGTTCCCCCTCTGTCTGCGACCTCACCAATGATCACTGCACCGCTCTGCTTAACAGGAAACCATGCTTCACTGGGAATCATTTGTAGAAAAACAAGTTTTACACAAGACAGTAGTGGAATATTACTAGGTACATTTACTCAATTACTTTATTTAATTTTTAGGTACTTATACTTCACTTGAGTATTTTCCTGTTATGCTACTCTATACTTTGACCTTACTAAATTTAATTTAGAGGCTACATTTTACTCAATTGTTTCCACTTATTTAGTTACTAGCTACTTTATATGGAAAGCCACACTGCTAACATGGCTAAAGACACATTTATGAAATCATGCCATGTAAGAATAAACTGCAAGACATAGCTGGTAGTAGTTCCCACCAGCTATGTCTTGCAGTGGCTTATATATTCTTTAAAAAAATTCAATTTTAGTTTTGCAGTAATCCATTTTCTCCATCCAAGCTCAGCTCTGTGTTAAACGGTAGCAACCTGCGCAGTGTGAGTGTGTTGTCCTTCATTCAGTGTGTATTGGAACCCGGCTCTGCTGGGGCAGCTGGAGAAGCTGAGCACTCTGATCCTGGACTGCAACAACTACACCTCCCACATCAAGTTCCCCTTCATGGCCAGCGTCACCACCGTGTGCATCAACAAGAACAACATCAACAACCTGCCCGTGTTCGTGGATGAAATCCGGAGGAAGTTCCCGAACATCAAGTGAGCCTGGAACCCTGTTTCAATACCGGGAGGTTTCATTCCTCGCCGCATTCTGATTCCATATCTCTCTCCAACAGGATCCTCAGCATTATGAACAACGAGGCAGCACCGAGCTATTTCAATGGAGGAAGTCTGACCCAGTACACAGACTACAGGTGAGCATAGGCCCTTTTTTTTTACCAGTGTTGTAAGAAGTACCCACATCTTATATTCTAGTAAAAGTACACATACCACAGTGTAGAAATACTGTTACAAGTAAAGGTCCTGCATTCAAAATGATACTTAAAGGTTTCCTCTCATGCTGTTTTTATACATATATTATGGGTCTCAGATATATATAAAACATGTCTATGAAGTGTTTTGCTCAAAATACCAAACAGATCACCCATTGTAGCCATGCCTCATACCCCTCTATTTCAGCCCTGTTACTAAAGTGCTTATTCTGGGTTCGTAGCTTTGAAAAACAAAAAAAGGGGTGGGAGCTAAATGCTGCTATCATGTTCCAAACCACATCAAGGATTATTTCTGAAACAGTATGGAGCTCAAATGCTTTCTCTCTTGCGGGTTTACCACAAGGTGAGTTCCTTTTTTTATTTCCTGCTTTTTTACACATACTCTCTCCAGTAAAGGTTAGCTCTGAGTGTTAGCGGTGCTTTCTAATGTAAACACAGACCATATTACGTCCAAAACGTTGCGCATTGTTTCTGATACAGCGACGTTTGTGATAGGGCCTTGGGTCCTCATTTCAGATATTACGTCATATCGGCAGCTAATCTAGATCAGCTCCGTTGTTCCCCCGTTTTTAGAGATTTGGGTACGGAGGAAAAGAGAGGGGGTTTTATTTTCTGACAATAAATGATATTTATATAGCGCCTTTCAAGGGACCCAAGGTCACTGTACACGGTGGACAAACAAAACAAACAGACAATCAAAGGGCAAACAAAAAATAAAGGAAGCCGGGGGACCAAGAAAGGGCTAGGGCCCGAAGGCCAGGGTGAACAGATGTGTTTTTAATGATGATTTGAAGATGTCCAGGGAGGCAGCATTACGGATCTCGGCAGGAAGTGCATTCCAGAGGGTAGGGGCCGCAAAAATGAACGCCCTTTCACCAACATTTCGGAGGCGAGAGCGGGGGATGGAGAGCAGGCCCGTGTCTGAGGAACGCAGACTCTGAGAAGGGGTGTAGGGATGGAGGAGGTCCGATAAGTACTAGGGGGCGAGGGTAAGGAGGGACTTGTACGTGAGGAGGAGTGTTTTATACTGAATCCGGGACTTGACCGGCAGCCAGTGTAGGTGGTTGAGGGTGGGGGTGATATGTTGCCATGGCTTGGTGCGGGGGAGAAGCCTGGCGGCAGAGTTCTGGACGTACTTGAGCCTGTCCAGGGTTTTGCTGGAAACCCCGGACAGGACTCCATTGCAGTAGTCCAGACGGGATATGATGAAGGCGTGTACAAGTGTTTCTGCCACAGAGTGAAGGCCGGAGTCTGGCAATGTTTTTGAGATTGTGACGAAGGTAACTTCGCCACTGTGGACTGACGGCTTCGGGCCTTGTAATATTGCACATGTGGTTTAGTTTGGAAATGTTCCCCAAACCCGTTTTGTCTGTTGATCCTGATTGTGTTCACCTGGTGCTCTGTGTTGTCTCCTCCCCCCTCACCTGTGTCTTGTTGATTGATTAGTGTGTGTGTGTATTTATGCTCTGTTTTCCCTGTCAGTGGACAGGTAGTGTGGGCGAGATCCTTGTGGCTGGTGACTGTGTTCACCTGGGCAGCGATATTGAGGCTGTGTCATGTACCACAGCGATGAATAAATGCCCACACCGGGTTATATTTAAATTCTCTGCCTCTGCCTCCTTGCTTGGTCAGGCCGCTCAACGGTCAGCCTCACAGAGATGGTAGAAGGCGGATTTGGTAACAGATTTGATGTGCGCCTGGAAAGTCCAGGAGGACTCCCAGGTTGCGGACTTCAGTGGACGGGGAGATGGAGCAGCCATCAATGGAGAGAAGCAGGTCACCAACCTTCTGGAGCTGCGCATTGGGAGCCACAATCATGAGCTCTGTTTTATTGCTGTTGATTTTGAGCATGTTTGATAACATCCAGTTTTGTATGTCCTGTAGGCAGTTGACAAGAGATTGAGGGGGAGCTGAGTGGACGGTTTGGTGCAGAGATAGAGCGGTGTGTCATCAGCATAAGAGTGAAAGCTGAGACCATGTTGGCGGATGATTTGACCAAGTAGGAGCATGTAGATGGTGAATAGGAGGGGTCCAAGCACAGAGCCTTTAGGTACACCTGGATTGACTGGGGCCAGAGGGGAGCTGCAGTCACTGATGGTGACAAAGTGTTTCCTGTTAGAGAGGTAGGACTCGAACCAGGCAAGAGCTGTTTCACTGAGGCCAAGGTAGTCAGACAGGCGGCTGAGGAGGATGGTATGGGATATGGTATCC